AACGAAGTCGACATGATTAGGTTGATGGTGTATAGTCATAGGTAACGTGGACTAGCCCAAATGCGGTGAAGAAGCATCATGAATGCAACATCAGCCTCAGCATGGGGCCACTCTCGATATATATATATATATATATATATATATATATGTATATATATATATATATGTATATATATAGTACTTACTATCTCATGCTTTATTAAGCTGAAGTGAAAATATGTTAACGTGCCAATTCGCATCAGGACCGTCCTACTGGATCTGGTAATCATAAGACATTACACCCTTAACCAAACACGGTTCATCGCTGGAAAGCTGGTCTCATATAAAACATCAATAACCTAGTCAACACCAGCAGCAATTGAAGCACGGAAACACATACTCACTTCAGGATCAGTGATTGCTCAATAGTCTTGGTACTTGTATGCCTTAAACATTTGCAATATGTGCGTTCGTCACCATGAAGACGGTGAATCGCCCGAGTAAATCACATGGTACGTGGTGATGGTGGGTTTACTCTGACGGAGTGGGTAAGCGCAGAACGCGGTTGCCACCAAAGTGCACTCTCGTATCGTAATATGTCACATACCTTGCGAAACGATCAATTCACCATAAAGCTGAACGGCGGTAAGCTGTGATGCTTAATCCGACATTGATGCCACAAGAAATGTAGATGTCTAGCAACCTAATAGAATCTAGGTGCTGCTGCCCCTACTTAATTTGTTGCCACCGCGTTGCAAGCTGGAAAACAATTCTATTGTTGACGAGTAGTAAAAGCAGCCTAAACTGACCAGATTTAATTGGTATATTCTCAACTATGTGAGGCATGGCCCAGCTAAGTTGGTCCGATCACTAACACATTCACACAAATAATATCTGGTATAGAACACATAGTTAGCAGTTAACACATCCAATCACGCTGGCTTCAAAGTGACTGTTGCACTTCACAACATAGCCACACACACCTCGCTCGAGCTGTTTCCGTTGATTTAGCTTGCACAGTGTGCGAATTTCGCGTGGTGTCAATGGTCCAGGCCTCGATTCGGGCCCTATGATTTCGGTGACGTTTGCCGAAACAGTGACCCTAGCATGGCTGCTCAGGTCGAGATACGATGCGTGCCAGTCATGCGGAGTGCACAATCATACGTGAAGCGATTCCACCCATTAGTTGAGCCTAGACTCACTGAGGTATGGGAAGCATCCAACATCGCATGGTGCTATATAATCGCAAAACCCACAGCTCACACTCCTATGTCAAGGGCATAATGTTGTCCATATACAAGCCTAAAGAAAACCGATTGGTAATCTAAGACTGGAAATTATGATATCCCAGTCTGTTGCAAGTTTATTCGAAGACAAATAATTTATTATTGTAACGAGAACGAGACGACAGGAACGTAACCTTTATTGTCAACGAGCAGTACGCACCATTCCATTGCTCATTCTTACGTCTAATACTTTTTGCTCCTGTACTTCTCCAAGTTCAACTGTAGAATAAAACGATCGCTCTTGCTTATGGGGCCGTGTACCGCTTGTCGTTAAATATACCAAATTTATTTAATAGGTTACAGGCGAGCAGACGCGCGCGTATATGATAAATTTCCATCCACAACGCACCCCACTTTGCTCTGACGCTCGTCGTCACATCCAGGTCCGGATTGGGTTCAATCAACTGGATCTTTCTTGTCCTTTTGTCTTCATACCTTAGCTAGCGCGCGTCGCATTCTGACCCGATTGGATTCGTCCTAAGCCTCAAGATTTGCCCAACCAGAGTTGCATTGTTCCCCTTCGGGTTATTCCTGGAGGCATGTACACTGGTGTATCTCTCTGGAAAATCGAACTCGCCAATACTATATTCCCTGTCCGACATCACTTATAGGTCGTAAGCCACTCCCCGTTTATTCCTTAAGCCTTGAGCTCATTTGCCGACTTTGTCTCCGTTGTTCGCGTTAGTTTACCATTTCCCCCGCTTCCGTGGCTTTTCCATCTCGCCTGTGACGCATGTCCCTCGCGTCACACTACACTCTGAGCATATCTGGTCTTGACACAAAAGTGCCATATTTCCAGAGGTGTACGATAGGCTGTCTCGCGGACTTAACATAGCAAAAGGACAACCATCGTTTTTGGAGAAGTCGGTGCGTGTATTTAAAAACACGTGTATTTCATCATTCACATCGTTCTCTGTGAATACTACGCAGTAACTCGATTTGTTGGCGTGCCATACTGATCGAGATTTCCAGCATAACTATTGTGAAAGGCGGTGCATCCTCCACTCTCTAAAATGCCTTCAAAAGAAGAAAGTTATGGCAACCAATGCCAACCAATCCTCATTCACTCCTCGAATTCACCCTATTGGCACAATGTCAGTGTAAAATCTCAGTGCACATACATGGCTTACCTTTTCCCCGATTGTGGATGCGTGCCGATTTTGCTTCAGTTAAGCAAGTTGGCCGGTAACGAAAGAATCAATTCTGAGATGCAGACGTGTATGTTAAAAGCATACTCAAGATATATTCAGAATACGGGTCGTTCGTCCATGACTCTGCAGCGAATTTCTCGAGTCCAGCATCTTCGGAGAGGCAATAGCAATCGGCTCCAAGTAGCGATATATTGGAATGGTATACTACGACGATATAGATAAGAAAACCTAAGTAGCGAGGTAAGTCTAGCCGAGCACACTAGCGAGACGTTCTGGTCAGAAAAGCGGGAAACTATGCTATGCGTATTCATAATGAACAATTGTTGTGTGTTATAGGCCTGATGCAAAGTAACTACGCAAAATGAGCGTGTCTAGAGGTAAGATAAATGACGACTCAGGAGATTTTAGGGAAATACGAAAAATGAAATTGCGAGTGTACATACGGGCCATAGAACGAATGCTCAATAGTGAGAAAAATGAAGACTAAACACGTAGGAAAGCGCGGCTGCAATTTGCACACACGGCCAAGGTCAGTGCATCCACCCACTTATAACTTACATTGATTACTGATTACTGGTTAGAAGCAGCAAGTAGCGTTTGCTCTGTGTAGCTGCATTAATTGTCATGGACAAATACCCGTTATGTTGTGTTCCGCTCAATATATTTTGCGTCGGCAAAGTGTTTGTCAAGGAACTGCTTCAATTCCGACACTGACTTTGCCTCCACTACGTGCTGCGGCAGGTCGTTCCAGACATTCACCAGTCTGCGTTCGAAACAGAGTTGGTGAGCGACCCGCTTCAAATCCGGTACGACAAGCTTATACCGGTGTCCTCGTGTGCTGCTTGGTGTGCGCAGATGAAGCAGTGGTCTCAACATGGGGTAATCACCCAGATGTAATATCCGGTGCGTCATGATGAGGTCAACCCTCATTCGACGATAAGCTAGGGTGTACAGCCCTAGTTTCTTACACCGGTCTTCGTACGGCACACCTCGTAAGTTGGGAATCAGCCTGGAAATAGCACCAGACGCGTTTCACCCAATTGGGGATCATCAGTGGTGCGCATTCCCTCGGTCCTCTAAGGAGGATCGAACCCATGACCGTTAGAGGCAGATGCCAACTAGCCAGCAGCTTAAGCCACTGAGCCATGACAGGATATTAGTCATATTCTTCTGGGCCGTCGCTGTATCGATCGACATAATACGTGCCTCCTCAATCGACAGTGAATTACAAGCCTCATGTATAGCGCCAGTT